GATTCATTTTAATGCATGTGTGGTTCTACAATAATGGCCTTTGTGTGTATCTGCTTTTTGTTTTATGTCTGATATCATTTTGCCATTGGAACAGCCTTAAAATGGTTGCAGGCTGTATGATCTTGAGTGTACATACAGATCTACGTGTGCTTTCTTTTCGTATATTAGGAGTTTCACTGAAGTCAGCAGATCTGCTCATGTGCCTAGAATGTAACAGCTGTAAGATTGGGGTCTGTATTATTAATTTTCTCATTAATTAGTTTCCCTGTTATCCTAGAAGAACCTTCACATCATTAGTATGATTGTTGTGGCAATATTTTTGTGCTGTGAAAAGGACAAATCAAAACTGTGGCATCTCTTATCTGCCAGATCCCAGTTTGCATTTGTCACAGAAGCGTGGCCTCGCTTTGGGAGAGATTTGCCAGCCTGACCGTGGGAGATTTGCATGGTTGGTTGCCCCCAGGGGAACCGGGGATGCTCCTGGGATAGCAGGAGCCATGCGAGGATGTCACAGGGTCAAAGCCGGTGCTCAGGGTTACGATGCAGATATCTGGGAAGGACAAGCGAGATGCGACCCTCAGGCGTTGGCCCTCTGTATCATTTATTCCTTCTCTAAGAAGGAGGAGGTAGTCTGAAAGAGCCTTACTCTGACTGTAGATGCTCTGTGACTGATAGTGTACTATTTTCTGCGTAGTGAAAATAAGTTTATTATTAATAACTTCTGTGTTGGAAGGGTAGAAGTAGACTGGTTAGGCAGAAATTCTTCCTTTGACTAAAAGCATGTTATCTGCAATTCTGTTTTCTTCTGGAAAACGTCTTTTTGCACCAGTTCTTGAGACATTGACTGTAGCCTTAGCTCTAAAAATGTCTCTGACTAGTTATGAAGAAAGGGACTGCTGAGGAGTAGGTGTATGAGAATCTGGCACTCATTCAGCTCTGAAATGGGAAGAGCCAAGAGGCCAGCAGACTATTAATATTTTTGACTTGCCATGTTTGTCGCAAGAGCAGTGAAAGATGTAAAAAGCCATGCGCCTCCGGGCTCTGGCAGAGCAAATGGGAAGAATACTAAAACCTGCTCTGGTGCTGCTGCTGAGAGCTTGTCCCCTGGACATTCACAGGGTTCTTGTCTCAGCCCTCTCCCATCTGACTGCCGGCTTATTATTTGTCATATCATCTGCTTCGTTTTGGGGCTGCTCCTGCAGCTGGCATATCACTGTGCATGCTAAATACCTCTCCTTAACATAAAGTGGGCAGACGCTCGCAGAGTATCCGGTTTTGTAGCTTAGTTAGAAGTGCTGCCTGCTTTGCCAGCTTGCTGAGTGTGCTGATTGATTGCTGCTTAGCCTGTTTGCTACCAAATATAAATGAGGGTATATATCATTTGGGGAGAATTTCCTTGCTGATCCCAAAGAAAAAGGCCAAGAGGGGAGAGCAAGCTCCTACTTTGCAGTAGTCAGCTTGGCACAGGAAAGGAATATACATGGACAGGAGTAGGTATTTTAGTGTCTGATGTGCTTACTTTGTTTGTATCAAGCTACTGTAATTCTCAAAGTCCTGTTTTTTCATCTGACTGCCATGCTGGGGAACAGAAACAGATGTTCCCATTTGTCTTTTGATGTGGCTCAAAATCATTTACATTTGCTGGCCTAAAATGACACGACATGTCATTCACCACTTTTTCCATCTCCTTTGGAGTGAGTGACAGATTGCTGTTCAATTACCAGTATAATGAAAAAGCAGATATTGCGAGGACAGTTTTCACCTAAAGGAAATGCAATCACCAGTTGCTGCAGTAGTGGAAAAAGAAGGATGGCAGACACTATAGAAGCCATCCAGTAAGAAAAGACATCTTTAGTATTAATAATGTCAGGGGGAAGACTCAAGGGAAATGCACAGGGCCTGGCTTTCCTGCCTGGAGAAAAGGAGAGCAGGGGTGAATAAAAATATGGTGAAAAACGGGCTTGCTTCTCTTCTAAAATATGTTTTCAGTTCTTTGCCTTGAGCTTGTGCTACTTAAAGCCTTCCCATTTTCTCGGCACCCAGCTCCAATGGAGAGCAATAATTACAGAAAGCCTCTACAGTAGAAGACACTCGTCGAGAGGTTCATTAGAAGAGAATTAAAAAAAAAAAAAAAAAAAGGAAAAAACTGTTTGTCAAATGCTTTGGGATTAGCCACTTTTCCAGCCAACAGTTGGCTTTCTTACCAGTCTGTTCTTACTCTGCTTCCTCCCTTTCTCCTGATGAAGAGGTTCTCCAGGCCAAGCAGAGCTTAACCCTTTGCTCTGCGAGTCACTGCCTTCAGGATCACTTGCCCGCTCTTAATTTTTTAGTGTTTCCCTTTCTCTAATTCTAGCAAAGTCACTTTGCAGGCACAACGTGTACTTTCCATATGCTGATCAAGATTAATTCTCATGTCCTAGTCCAGTCAGTCTGTTAGATTGGGTCAGAGTACAAGAGGTGAAACTTCTGCTTAAAGTCTTCTACATTTTTATTTCGAGAGGAACAAAATGAAGTGTTACATGGAAAACGTGTTAAGAATCCAATATACAGTGCTGTAAGTACCATTCCATTATTCCAGTTTTAAACAGTGAACCCCTAGTGAAATAATAGCCTTAGGATGGACAAAATGTACTTATGAATATGTGCACTGTCCAATAATCTGGTGAAGGAGGTGATCTGTTAAGCTTTCTTTTGAGGTGTAAGCTGGGTATGGGAAAGTGACTTTAAAAACAGGTGTAGTCCCTCGAAATAAATATGAATGAATCCCTTAAATAATGTATTTTAGCCAAATAGCTCATGGTTATAGTCATGCTTATTATAATGGATGTAGCAACAAGTATCATCTAGAGTTGTGGCTTTGCATTGTGAATGCAGTAAGGTAATTGCTGAGATGATTTTCAGTGATGTATTGGTAGCTACTGTTTTTGCCTGACCTGCTTTTTCTGAATATGAAGTTCTTCTGTGCGAAGCGAAACATGTTGCACTTGGCCATAATGAAATCCTTTCTGTTTTGGCACTGCTTGTTTAACAGTGATGCAATATTCTCTTTTGATCTGACTTAATGGTAAAGATTTTTCAAGTGTCACTGTGCTATTGCGTTACAGTATTGTCTCGAATGTACTGTTCCTTTCCACAGCTCTCCAGCTAGACGACTTTATCCCTCTGAAACACAGCCTGGTGACATAGAGGATTTTTTTCCTTTTTTATTAATTGTCTGCTGCAAAGCTTGCAAAGTCCCAGAGCTGTGTTTTAAAAGAGTAGGGGCAGGGGGAGAGAAGAGTTTGCCTTCTAGCAGGACTAACTTTCTAATTTGCGTGCAGTCCTTGTATTGTGCGTGGACAGGCAGAATGATTTAAAGGGAGTGGGGGGTGAAAAGCCCAGCTGGTTTTATCAAGCCCTTTTGGTCATCCATGTAATGCAATTTTTTACAGGTTAGAGCCCACTAGTGTCGTAAGAAACGACAATCTCTAGTCATCCGTTAAGGCTGGTTAAAGCCAGGGCGGAGAGCTACCAAGCGGGCAGGAGGCCCGAGCCATGGCCATCAGCTGCTCCCTGCCTGCCTTGCTGGTCGCAGGCGGGGTGTGAAACTCTCGCTCCATCTCTTCTGAGAGCAGCTCTGTGCAGGGCCGGCCAGGAAATGCTTCTCCACGAGTCCCATCTGCTGGATGCCGAGATGTATTGCCTGCTGGAGAGAGGGCGAGCATCATACCTCAGCCTCTAAATCTTAGCCGAGTGCAGCGTGCAACCAGGAGATGCACGCTTGCTTCTGAAAAACACTTTCTCTGTTTTACTTCCATCCACCTAATTGCATTTGGGCTGCTGCTGTTCTCTTCAACAGACACCATGTGTTAAGTAAAAGCAAGGTGGCAGCGCGAAGAACTTCAACCGTGCTGCTTTAGAGAAGCTGTAATCAGAAAAACCCAGGAGCCAGAAAAGATCACAGCAAAAAATATGCGTATCATTATCAAGCCATTTACAGGCCCGGGAATGAATTTCCTTTCTCCCAGTGTATATGCTCAGCAGTCAGTTTTTCAAATGCCTCATTAGGGCTGGTAGTCAGCTGCTCCTCGCCGTCTTTCTCGCCATGCTGGAAGAGAGGGAGCACAGCCATCGCATCTGATCCAGACTGCTGCACGGCAGCCTCTAATGTTGTTATGAAGCTAAAAGAGTGTTCTCCATCACTGAAAGTACACATTTCCCAATACGTTTCTGAGCGGGCCAAGCGAAGGTTAAGAGTGCTTGGTCTGGTGTCCATAGTCTGGCTTCCCCCAGGGTATTACTTTTCTCTGTGGTAATTCACTGTTTGGTACCTGCCTTCAGAAAGGGTGCTGGAGGGAGGAAAATGGATAATGAATGCGAAAGCAAAGTAGCGGAGAAAATTGGGAATGAATGTGAATGTAAAAAGGGGGAAAATGCATTAAATCCTAGCAATCTCACTGTGGTTTATTTTGCCCTCTCCTTTGCAGTCATTTGTGATGCATTTTGATACTTTATGTTAAGTGGCATTGAGCCTTTTGCTTTAAAATAAAATTCAGGCAATTCTCCCTCTCCTCCTCTTACCTTCCACAGCTATTAAAGTAGGTTCTGCAATCTGAAGCACAGCCACTTCAAGGCTCTTGTGGAAATGTTACTGGAGGAAAATAATCCTAAAAAAAAAAAACTTTAGAAAATAAATAGAATAAGATCAAGCAACAATTTTATCTATTGCAGACAGTGTTTAGGGAAAGATACATTTATTTTGTGTACAGATATTTATCATGTGCCTACTAAGGTAAAAATCTTTAATCTAACCTCTCTTCCCCAGCTGGAAATGTGACGCTTTTAAATGTAGCTGGTTATGCTTGCCATTTGTTCAGTTTACCTTTTCCTCTCTTCCCTTTTATCACAGGGCCTTGCTGTAAATGAGCAGTTTGAGCTGCATTGGTGACAATTAATATTGCTGCTACTGTTATCAATAAACAGATGCATCATAACTAATTGTTGTGTGGTTTTCTCGATAGGTGGTAACAGCACAGAGGAGAAGCAAAATGTGGAAGATACTGAGGGCCCGAGCCAAGAAGCAGGTTAGTGCACAGTTTCTTAAAGGACTTTGAGGTTTTATCCACCCTGGAACAATAATCCTCGTCAAATGCTACTGAGGGAACACACTTGTAGATTTTCACTAGATTAGCTCTGAGCTCATGCAATTATAGACCACAACTCCATTCATTATGAACAAATGAATTGCAATGCAGGAATGCAGACTTCCCTCCTTAACCTACCAGCCCCACATTCCCTCTTTAAAGCGGACTACCTCTACCTGATCCTCTAACTAGAGAGAAATATTTCTACTACTCTGTCTACACCAGAGTAGCACTCTGCATACAATACAAAAAAGGAGGGACAGGGGGGAAGGAGGGGAAGGAGCATGGGGCAGGGGAGAAATTTGGGAAAGGTGGAAGCAGTCTGTCTGTACGGAGAACCATAATTCTGAAGTTTTCAGGTTTCAATAAATTGTCTACACAAGTCTCTGGGGTTATGAAGATTTAAATACATACAGAAAGACATTACATATACTGTGAACAAATGCCAGAGTTCACGAGCAGTGGATTTTGCAGATGGCATGATTATAAATTACATATTACAACGTAGCAAGTTCAGTATTTTAAAATGCAATGTCATTCCATGTTTGCAATAGATGTTTTTCTATATTTCTTCCATTTCTAGTTATATTTTCCATCGTGCCCAACTCTGTTCAATGCAAAAGACTTAAGAATTAAGCAGCTATCAACAGAGCTGATGTAGCAATCAAAATGCCTGTAAATACCGTTCTTTCCTAGGATTTCTTTTCGTAGCATTACCTGCAATACAATATGTTTCCTGGTTATTTTTTGCTCATAGTAGTGCAGGATGCCACCTTAATTCACAGAGCATGAAAGATTTTTATAGAGAGATATCTTTTTAATCAGACTTAAAGATTGTTATAAATATGTGGAAAACTGAGCTGAAGAAGGCCAGCCAGTAAATGCAGCAGAAAAAAATAGGAAGCCTGGAGCCTTGTCTGATCTGTTTTGCATACTATATCTTGGCTCCTTCCAGAAGAGGAGCTCATTTGATGGGGCCCCTTGTTTGTCCCACGCGGTGAGCACCATGCGTGTGGTAGCACAGCATTTCTCCCTGCACTCCCCTGGGCAGTCTTCTGCAGCCGTGTGTTAGCAGCTGATGCTGGTGGCCTCAAGTACTTGAAGTCCCTCTGTATTTTGGGTTGCCTTCATCTCTGCTTCTTTACATCCCCACGCGTGGCACGCAGTGCGAGGTGAGGACACAGTCACACAGCACTCTAGCTTTGGACTGGGGCCCTTTATCCTCCCCAGGATAAACATACTGGGGTATTTTGTACACGCTGAAGGATGTTTCCTTTCCTGGATTTTTACTGTTATGCTGGTCGGGCAGAAGTGTGGAAGGAGTTGACCTGTCTGAATCCAGGGTCTGTTTTAATCTCTTGCTAGGCAGGGTGATCTCTTTGCTCAAACAATGCAGAGCTTTTAACTGTACCACATAATGCTTGGCTCCTAGCTCAGGATTACTCCAGCTGCAGAGATTCCTGTTAAACTCAGTTATGTTACTGTCTATAGATGCCAAATATAGCCCATTGTACTTGTCAACTATATCGACTCTGATGGTATGTATATTTCCTTGGTGTTTTGATTTGCAAAACAGCTGGAGTGATTGTGATACGTTTCATTTTTCCCCAGAGAAGTGAGGGGAATGCACATCTCTTAATTATTACTTTGCTGCTGGAGGTGTGTTAAATGCATTGTGTTTTTTTTTTTCTTTTTTTTTCTTTCTTTTCCAAAACTGTCATTATGACTTGTTATGTTAGTAGCTGTCAGACCTGGTTTATCAGAGATACCGTGTATGCTCTTGTGCTATCTCATATTGGTAGTCATGTTTTGTTACTCTCATGAAGAGTGTCAAAGAAAGGATCGAGACTTTTTAAGTCCCAGATCCAGAAAATGTCATATTGCAGGAACTCACCTAAAGACAGCAGTTGTTCCTACACATGAATCACCTCCTCAGACACAAGCATACAGCGTTACAGAAAAAAATTATTTGACTTAACATTTATCGCTACTGGTTCACCTACTGATAAGAACAGAGAGGTGAACAATTACCTCAAGTGAGTAATGTTCAGCTGATGAATTGCTGCCACTTTCCACATTCCTCAACTGGGGAGACAAAACATCATCAGGAATTTCTAGGGTTGCTGCTTGTGTTCCCTTCACTGGCGGTAGGAAATGACCCAATATTCTAAGATACATGGTTGTATGGCTAAAACAGTTCTAAACACCATGAAAGATAATTGTAAGGAGCAATCTCTTCAAATGTTCAAGTTCTTATTTGTGTTTTCTAAACTAAAAGGCATAACCTTCATCTGAGTGTGACAAATCACAAATCATTACTTTAATATCTTAAAAGAAAATGTTCGAGAAAAAAAATAGAAACTGTTGTCTAAGCCAGTCCATTACATAAAGATTTATATGTTCTTATTACATAGTACATGAAAAAGCCAGTTATAGCATACAAAGTCTGGCCTAAAATATTTCAGATATTACATTGCTGTTTTTTTTTTAATAATCTGCCCTCTATCCTATCATCAGTGAACTTCACAGTTAAGATGTGGAAAACAAAATGGCAGGTGGTTCAGAGCTCTTGTTTTAAGCTTGTTAAAAATACTCAATGACTATATTGTGGGGTGTAGGAGAGGGTCAGAATCACCAGAGGCAAGTCCAGTGAAAGAAAAGAAAGAATAAAAATGAAAGCAGGTTTCCAAAGGTTTTAGATTACAAAAAAAAATGCCCAGAAAAAGCAACAGTGAAGGAGAAAAAAGTCTGTTAAATTCAGGTACTAATTACTAATTTAATCTATTAAAGATCATGGTTTTAGCAGTGTGCTTTGACATTCAACATCTATGCACCACAGATTTTCAGGGACTTGGTAAATTTCGGGCCTGATTCAGGAAAGCTTCTGTTTTCAGGAAAGCGTTTGCATTTAATCATTTTGATTCCAATGGGATTCAAGGACATGATTAAAGTTAAAGAATGGCTTAATTGTTTTTTTCTCAAAATAGATGGATTAAATGAAAAAAGGAATCTCAAAGCAAAAAGCAACAGCAGCCTATTCATGAAATTGATAGCTGTTCCTCTCTCTCTATTATGGGAAATTGAAATATGGACTTGAACTGGCAGTACTGTAATGTAAGTTTACCCCTGGCTTAGGGAAGACAATCAGACCAGTAATGGCCAGTGAATACAATGTGAATGGATGGAAGCCCAGAAAATCAAATTCAAGTATAGTATCGTGCCTCAGATAAGGTGTAATGCCTTTTTTTTTTTTTTTTTCAGTAAACCAGTTCATCATTTTGCCTTCTAATGAATAACGTCTCTTTCATTTCCTTGGTTCTTATAGATGAGACAAAACCTTCAGCTGTAGCCAGCCTATCATCATCAGAAGCCACAGAGCCGTGTGAGGATAAAGGTACAGATTGTAAATTACATTGCAAAATATCCAATCCCGAGAGGACATTTCATAAAGCTGTATTTTTCTTTGTCTGGAAATTGCTAAAATCACAGTTAAACCATACTGAAATAGGTAAATGCTTGGATTTTGATTTACAAAAGTCTTTGTAATAAAACTACTTGGCACCAGCTGTTGTGCTGGTAGGAGAGATGCCATGAATTCCTAAGTCCCCTTGTTACGGAGGTAATGCTGCAATATCATACATGACATGTCAGAAATTAGCCTGAAGCTTGGGCTCGCCATGATGACTCACACGCGTAAAGTTAAGCGTGCACATCTATCTCAGCTGTGTTAGCTCCCTATTCAGTGCTCTCCTGATGGGGAGAAAGAAAAACACAATAGCTATAAACACATCAAGAGGAGACAGAAGGAGTTGAAGTCATAATTGAGAGGGAGAAGGTAATGTTTATCTTGTGCAGACTGTGCTGGGCACTCAGATCATTTAGTTTGTGATAAATATTTGAAAGTGTCACGGGGCCAAATGACAGGGAGTTTAGGAAACAAGAAAGAGAGATGATCTAATTTAAATGTTTCAAGCTGAGATTTTTCCTGTGGAGTTGTTGGTTTACAGATAGGAACCAGCGCACAGACCTACCGTTTTTGATACTGTTATGATATCATGCTATTAATTGCTTGTGCCGCTCTATGGTTTTTGGCATTTGGGGGGGGGGTGAAAGGGGGGTGTCAGGAAAAAGCCTGGGTGATTTATAAAATGTTCGCTACTGGTAATTCAAAACAGGAGTTGTGCTATCTATAATAAATGCAGTCCATCAGTACAGCCTTCAAGAAAGCCTAATAGAAAATTTTAATGCATTTTACTGAGATAACATAATTATTAACATCCATTAACTTATTTATTTTAAAAGATTGAATGTTTAATTCAGTGTCACTGCTTAACTCTCTTCTCATTTTTCTAGATAAGTGTGATGGGGTGTGAGATCTTGCCCTTTTGTTCCAAAAGAACATGCTAGAGAGCCCACATACTTACCTGATTATGAGTTCAAAGCCTTGCACAGGTTGATTTAAGTGCTCTCTCAACTGATTGATTGGTACTGTGTGGAAAAAAAGCCCTCAAACCCTTGCCAGAGTACTGGCTTTTGCTATTGATATCTTCACAGATTAAGGTCATGGCAAGGCTAGTTTAAGGCAGGAATACTGATAGATTCAGCCCTAGCCATAGCTGGCAATTACCTGTCACTCATCACTCTTTTCTCACTGACACTTGGCCTTTTTATGTATACTGTATTTATGTGATCACCCATTGGATGTGCTTTTTGATGCTGTGTAATGTGGGGCCCACAGTGGGTTTTTGGATTAGGATTTCTTGTTGTCTGCAGTCTTTACCAAAGATACAAATGTTTTGCTAGTGCTTTGAGTGCTTGCTCATGACTGACACCCGTTCCTTCTGATATGCTGTTCAGTGACCATCTCTATGTGTGTTTTTGATGCTCCAGTTTTTTGACCTTTTGTATTAGTTGCCTCTTCTCGGGAAAGTAGCTGTTTTTGTGTTATGCCTCTCGCTTTTCCTATAGTATTCTAAGAGAATAATGTTTTCTCCTCTTCTCTCAAGAGGCTGGCAGAAGAAGAGATGGTGACCTGAGAAGCCCAAAAGGTCATTTTACTTGGATGTCCTACTTCTCCTCAAAAATAAAACAGAAAGCATCCAGTAGGGGAAAAGGAATGAGACAGACTCTCCTCCATATATTTTGTGTGTAAAGTCATGCTAGTACAAAGGAAGGAATGCTGGGGAGGAAAGCCTGTTTCAGAATTAGATTGCTAGTTGCTTAAGGGAAAACCAAGAGTTTTGAACAACGAGACTGCCTCATCCATCAGACCATTGTTTCAATCCTTATTTGCATTAGCATATTCTCAATTTTTCAGATTTCAGATGTTGAGTTGGTTTAACATTGAACACCGGTGTTACAAAACACTTGCTACTGCTTGGGAAATGGCACTTTTACAAAATCCTGGCATTTCTGAAAACACCTGCTGCTCCCGAAATAAATTTCAGCCTTCAAATTGTTTGCCCACTGAGTTAACACAGCTAAAACCTGCCAAGTTCTGGAACATACTAATTTCTGTAGTTTATCTTCAACTAAATGACCTGGATGTAAAGCATTCAAAGAAATTATGTTTTTCTATTCCTTTCAGTCTAATTACCATGGAAAAAGATTTGTGGTGAAGAAGTCTGGGCTACAAACTTCCAAAATGCATGGTTCAAACCACTCAGAATAGGAGGTTTCCAAGCCTGCTGTGGCAGTTCAGCAGTCTCTCTAATGCCAGTGCACAGAAATGAGTATTTTGACGTGGATTAGCATCAGCTAGTAACTTTTCCACTCCCTTTTTTCCCCCACATATTTCTGGGATCAGAAAATAGTGAGCACACTGAAATGCTTCTTTTCTGTTCTAAAACGTGAGGCTGCTCAAAACGGATCTCGCTGTCTCTCAGCCTGAACACTGTGGCTTGGCAGGCCAGATACAGTGAAATTTTTTTCTCTCCATTGGTTAGAATGATTTCTGTGTTGACTTTTATCATAGCTTTCAATGAATATTGCGAATGGCAGACTGTCACAAAGAAGGTTCTACCAGTCCCACAGTAGCACGGCTCAACACTTTTTGGTAGGGTCCATGGCAAAAAACTGTAGGTCTCACACCAATTCACTGCTCTAGTGGAACTCACGCTCTTCAGGAACATGTTCCTAGTCAGGAGAGCACTTTAACTTGTTGGGAGTTTATTCAAGTGTTAATTTTCTTCTCTTCCAAGGGGCATTTGAAGCACATGCATCTCCTGCTATCATGAAGTTCTAATATTTTTTCTTAACTGGAGCCTTCTTTATCCTTTTATTTATTTATTTAAACGAAAGGGGAAGGATGGGAAAAGGGAAGTACAGCTCATAATAGAATGTGCTGAACGGTGCACGAATAATGCTTTGAGGAGCTCTGAAAAATGAAAATCTACTGTGGGATTACATGTCCCACATTATTGTGTGCTCTTATCTTTCCTGTCATTCATAAGACATTCTGTCCAGAAAAAAAAGTTCACGTGGGCACAGTTCACATATGGCCTTTGAACAGACAGAACTTCCCGAGTGCCCCGTCCTCAGGAAACAAAGCAGAATAGTCATATTACAAGAATATCAAGATGTTTCATGTTATGCTGTGGAGGTGTCCTCTTACTACAGCCTGTGCCAAGCTTCTCTTTCCACTGTCTGGAAATAGAGCAAAGAAATGTTGCAATTTTACCCTTGAAAACTCGCATGCATATCTATTAGCTCTTGAGGAGAGAGCTGACACCTCTCGGCAGCACCTTCGTAGTGCTTCATTACTGTGTATATGGAAGTAGATCCTTTATACACAGCGTATTTCAACTTAGAGATGCTCCTCTTTATGGAGTGGAAGGACAGAAGAAAGTGATTAAGGCCATTAATGTTTATGCAGCAGATAAAACACGTATCAGACAGGCTGCGCTCAGTCTGGTATGCCTGTCCACACAAGATTGTGCTGGGACTACCAACTCGTTTTAAATGGACCGAGTGCTGTGTGAGAGAGCGTGTGTTCTTCATTTTGCTTCTCATATACCTGTCCTACCGATTATTGTTTAACCTGACTTAATGATGGGGCTTTCTGGCAGAAAAGTTTTAAAAGGAAATGGATTTAGCACAGATAAAGAATGAACTCCCCATTATGTAATCATGGGAAAGTTTCTGTGCACAATACACTGATTTTAATTCATTAGCACCTCATAAGAACTGAATTTTCATTTGAAGGTCAACTAAATTAAATCATATGCTAATTAATTTTAAAAATAAAGCAGCGATTAATTATTTCCAGGTGTTCACCAAAGTCTGCGCTCCTGCGGGAGTGCCATTTAAAGCAAGTCACTATTTTTCTACATTCTCTGAAATGGAGTCAGGTTCAGTCAGCTGGAGAGTTTATGTTGTCAGAGACTGTATTAGGTATATGCCTTGGCTAGAGCCGAGCCCTAAAAACTCACTTTGTGCAACCCAGAAGCCTGCAAGTATCTTGCGTGTAAAACATACAGGATATATAATTCCTGTTTGGCCAGCTGTAGTTCTCACCATGGAAAAATCTCGGTGTCCTAAAGACATAAATGATTGAGAAGGGATAAACGGAAAGATACAGCATTTCAAATCCAGGGGAGCTGGGTAAATTGGCATAAATTAGACATTGATGAGTGGCTGAAGTAGACTGACTGGAAGGTCAGTGTGCTCAAAAAGAGGTGTTTAAAATCAGCTCTTAAGTATATATTAAGACATCTGAATGAATGACCCGATTTTCAGAAGTGCTGAGCGCTCAGCAGCCACCAATGAAATGTTTTTACTTTACCCTTGGGCTATGATTAGGCCTGGAAAATTTCAGCCTGAAAAATTTCAATTATAGGTAACTGAGAAAGAACCTTTTTAAATGGAAGAGTTTCAACACCCCCAACCGTAGCTGTGGCTCCGCATGCCAGCTGCCGGGATAACATTTTTCTCTCCCTTGGTTAGAATGATTTCCATGAAAGCAAATTGGCTAACGCAAGCTAAATGGTGTGGTGGTGGGGGGTTATTCATTTGTTTTTATTTTCAACCAGCTATGTAACCATCAGCATCTCACCAAATGCCTGTTCTCTTAGCACCCTGGTAATGGTCAGTGTGAGCTGTACGTGATGCAGGTTACTCACTTTTCCTTTCAATCTGACCTATCTGTAGCGTTGTGCATCCAGACAGGGTCAAGGCCATAAACTACTCAAGAGGTATTTCTGCTTTACCATTCGCCTGCACAGGCAGCTGCAACAGCTGACACTAATCTGCTTAGCTGGTTTATTTAAATCCTACTTATTTTTAAATATTAGCTGACCCGAAGCCATCCAGCTGCGCTCCCGTCAGTCCGACCAGCACCTACTCCTTGCAGCTCCTCTCTCCTACCTTCAGCTGGGCAGCACCTTCTCCTGGGAAGGGTCTAACTGAGACTGCCAGGTTTTTCTCAGTGTTTTCCTTACCCAGTGCCCCAAGCAACGGGCCCTGCCCTGGCGGCAGCAGCAGGGTGCCCGGTTATCTTACCAACTGCACCTTGAATGCCTCTTGTGGACAGAAGGGGAGGTTAGAGGAGATGCCCTCCTGGCAGCTGGAAGCATGAGCGAGTGGGAGTGTTACCCGCTGGACCCCACCTGGGGAGATGAAGTGCCTGCTGCATCACCTGAACACTTGCAAAAATCTCTCTACAGGTTGTTGCACCTAAAAAGGTCTGTTTTACCAAGCCGTATAAACTTGGGCTCAAATAAATCTAATCCGTCATAAAGATAGATTAAAATGAAATCTTGGTGGATATAAAAATAACATTTTAAAGTCAAAGCTCAAGAATATCTCCCTAACTTCTTATAAATCACCATTTTATAGTACTTCATTTTAACACATTTTCCTCGGTTTATGAGGCAAAAGAATACCCTAATCATGTGGCAGCCTCCGTGCACACCATTACCTGTAATTTTAGACGCCTGCTTGATTTCTTTCACTCTGGAAATATTCCAGTCATTTTTCACAGTATCATGCTTAAAAAATAAAATGCACTGAACCTTCTTCTTTCATAATGGCCAGCTTTTTCCCTCTTTAATCGTCTTACAGCTCCCTAAAATGTGGTGATTTATCTATGCTGTGTGCAGGACCCAGGTGTGTTGCACATTAGAAATGACTCAGTAAATAAGCCATACAGAGAGTAGCTGGGGAAGTGAATTTTAAAAGATCATTAAAACCACTTAACATTCAGATCTTACCATTTCTCCTCTTCCTAAGCATTTGCAAAATTTTGTTTGAGCAGTGTTGCTTTGTACAGTCAAAAAAAAAAAAATGACATGGAAAAACAGTGGGGTTTATGCAGTCTTTATACAAAATAGTGTTTGATTATTGGCAGGAAGGGTAGGATTGATAGCTTATTGCAAGCTACACAGTTTTCTTGGAGTTGAGTTCAACATGCAGTTGGTGTATTAGAACAGTAATATGTGTGGTGAGTATTCTGACCCTCTTAGTTAATGTCCAAATATTTTCTCCAAGAGTTTTTAAAGGCTGGGGTTAATTCCCATGTCTGTGTAGCCACACAACCCCACGAGATAGTTGTTTCAATACAACGGAGGGGTGCAGAGCAAGCGGGGTCAGAGTGAGCCTCCTTACGTGGATACTGCCACTGCAGGTAAAGCAGCCACCAGGTAAAAGCAGGTTTGAAGGAATTCATGGGTTTTACGCTCAGATGTTCACAAGCACTTCATTGCTTTATGTGCAGTAGATTAAAGTGGCCTATCTTCGATTTATTTATGTCACTAAATGTCGTGCTTGGTTCATTTGTTTGTGATCAGTGATGACACCAGGAACCGTGCTACAATGCAGTATCAGAAGCACTGCTTACTTTCAGTCCCGCCTGGTGGAATGCTGACCCTTTACAGCCCCAAAGCAAATGGTGCCCCATGTACATCACCAAAAAAATAAGCATACTTTGCTGAGAAATGATACCCTCACTAGGGTTCTCTGGTGCAACTTGACAGGTGAATAGCTGTGTTAGGAGATGAATGACACTGCTTGATACCATTTATACCACTGCTTTATACCATTTAAAAAATCGGAGTTAGTTCCTAGCCATTTGGTGATGAATGAAGGCTGTAGGGATGTCCAGAGTTTGTGCGGACATGGGGTCTTTTAGGACTATCGTACTGGCCTAAGCCCAGTTCTGTATAGCTCCAGAGGGCTAAGTCAGCACAAAAGACCACCTCTTCCTGAGCAATACTGCTACTCTACTGAAAACTTTCAAAGAGAAACTTGTATTTAGTCAGCATTTGTGGGATTCCCACCACTGCTTGCCAACTGAAACAGATGCAGCGTTCTTGCCTCATATCCAATTTGGGACCAGCTTTTATTGACCCGTGCATTTAATCTTAAATTTTTCACTCTTGCCTGCCTGAGATTTTCTTCATAAATCTGGGTTTATTCCTTTGCTTTATTTTATTCTTGTTAATCCTAAAAGTAAATCTGTCTTTGGACCTTTTGGCTTGAATATTTGATCTACTATTTGCATTTGAAAAGAAGAAATCTTTGATATGGTCTTGACCTTAAAGATTTTGAAACTCAGAATCTACATGCTAATGCAGCTACTGATCTCTCCTGCTGAAATAGGAACCGCAGGCTCCTTCAACGAGGCAGCAGCTCCTGCCCGTGTTCTGCTTTTTTCAGAAACATGCTTGACAAAAAAGAACACGTGCAAAATGAACATTTTATGTTGCCTGGAATAATTTTGAATCCTGTGCAACTGAAATGCTTTCTCGAACCCTGGAACAATTAGGAAACTCTTTACATCCAAAATGAAAGTTCAACATTAAATTGCAATCCCATAAGAATAAACTGTGCGCAGCCAGGTATGGGAATGTCTGAAGACGGGCCAAACAGCACGGATGGTCTGTTGCTGTGGTGCCTAACGCTGGCACTGAGCACAGCAGTAGGGTCAGACTTCCAGCTGTGCTCAGGGATGGAAGTGCAGACAACTCCTCATGCTGCACAAGAACTGTAGTTTGCCATAAGCTATTTGGTGCTGCACGACGAAAAGCAATGTGAGGGGGCACATACATCAGCGAAGCACAAGGCTCCTTAAACTCCATTTGTTGCTATTGACCAAGGTGCGTAATTGTTCCTCTGATGCTGCAGATTGATTTTTGCATGAAATTGGAGTCATTCCTCATTCTGGGAGGAAAGGTGGCACCTATGGACTGAGATTAAAGGCACAGGTCTGGCAGTATGAAGTACTATGCAATCAGCACTGGATAAGATGTCTCTAAGAACCATATGGGACAGAGGAGTGTGCACCTCTCCCACCCCCAGCAGGTAATATCACACTTTTGGCTCTTTGAAGGGCCCTCGCTGCAAGGTACTTAAGGAAGAGGACTTCTGAGTCCATGTCAGTCAGTAAAGTACCATTTGCAAACATGCAACTAAATCATACCAAAAAAAGATTATATGAATTCAGAATAGAGGGCTAGGGATGGTACAAACCTTGGCTTGCTTGATATCCCGCAGGCTTTGTCAAAGACTTCAGTGAAGCCAGAATTTCACTCGATGCATTTAAAGTTTGTTTTAGATGTTGACAAATTCCCTGAAGATTTTTAGTGCCTTTCCCATTGAAGACCAAGAGGTCCTTCAACTTGCTTTTTGATTAAACTTGCAATTTGACGAGATTCTAATTTATTTTTGCACTGATTCAGGCTGATAGGGTAATCCCTTGTAACTCATAGCATGATGTGGCATCCTAGTATGAAAGGGCCAGCACAGTGGCCCAGCTGATAGCAGTGCTCAGCATTTTAAGTCCACAGTAGGGTAGAAAAAAAAGTGCAGCAAGGGCAAATTTTAGCAAATTGTACATCAGTGAGATATTCTGCTTTCAAACTTGGATTTATAAACTTATTGTCATGCCATGAGAGAAGTAAGAAGCTGTGCAGGTAATTAAATATTTGCCTTGGGGGATTATTTGCAGTTAATTAAAGCCACACACTTTCACTGCATACCTTTTCTACAGATTATTAAATTTGGATCAGATGTTAACAACCCAGCTTTCTTGCTTATCCATCAGAGATTATTCTTGGCAAGTTTCAAGAAGAGAGTTTTACCCAGGCATCCTTTGGTATGTTGTAAGATCTGCTCTGCCATGTGATAGAAAGGGACCCTCTAGAAGTAGTGCCATGACAGAACTGTCATAAAGTAATTTATTGTCATGCGCTGTAGGTCTTTGCGTGCCATAGATCACTAGGGAGTGGCTCTGGTCAGAAAATGTTGTTTGACACACAAAAATTAATGCCCGGTGTATACAAAGACCACAGATAGAGTGTAGGGGCTGGATTTATACTGTCTGATTTAAAACCTCACTGTGCTACTGGTTCAGAGTATGGCTTTGGGCGCTTCATTTGCTAGTCTCCCTGAAAGCAAAAGCAGTCTTGGCCATGATAACAGCCTTGGGAGTTCTGTCATCTAGTGAAATGAGGCCAGGATTTGCAGTGGGATTTATAGGACTTAATGTTTGTCAAGCTAGGGAAAATACAGCCATGAAAAGCACTGGTATTGTTATTATTATTTTTTTTTAAAAAGTCATTCTATTTATTAAGTAGGTGGTCCACTGTGTTTCTCCTAGCTTTGTGACACTCATTTCATTAGAAATAAAAGTCTCAGTAGCACTTCTCATTTTTCTTACATATCCTTCCTTGACAACTCCTTGTCTAAGGTTTGTACCGCAGGCCAGAAGCTGCTCAATAAGTGTACGGCTTCAGAAATCGGTTTGAATAATTGAGACCCACGAGTATGCTTTTGTAGTGTGCGAGTCTGTGGTGAAGCAGCAGGAAGTGCTGTCCGAGTATCAGAATGCCAAGTATGAACCTCGCACCTAAGGGGCCACCAGTGTCTGAGGAAACAGCTGGACTTTTCCAGCACAAAAACCGCTGCAGGACATGTGTTTGTGTGTTTGCTGTTTCCTCAGACTCCCTGAAAGACTCCAAAGGCGCGCAGGAGAGTGACCCAGCACATCCTATGGGGTGCAAGCAAGATCAAGCCGAAGGTAAAGTTTTCTCTCAACATTCTTTGAGACACAGATAATGAACCAGTTGGGAGCCTTAGTTCCTCCAGTTACAGCATCCAGTGGGTTTCAGCCTGACCTCTGCTGCCTCAGGAAAATGCTGTCAGCAAGCAGAGGTCCCATGCCACACAGGCCTGGTGCAGTAATTGTTGGCGTTGCTGGCAAAGACACATCTCCAAGTGCGTGGGCTTCTAACCATATTGATCCAGAGGGCATAGCATTGTTGTTGTTGTCTTTTCCTTCCTTTCCATTTTTTGTTTTCCCTCCCATCATCATTCTAAAAGCCTGTGGGGTGATTCTGTTCCTTCTGACAAGCTGACCAGCAAGCGGGGGTGCTTTGCAACAGCTCCTATGAGAACCAGTGTGTAGAGGCTGAGCTACAAACAAAGGAAAAAAAAAATTGGTTCCAGGTCAGTTGTGACCAGACGTTGAACATCCTTAATGCTTAGTAGGTGGTATTTTCATATATGAAATAGTTCTAACATTGTTCATTTAATAGCAAAAGGTATTTCATGGCTGAAGAGTTCGATGCAGCATGTTAGGTTCGTGCCGTGCCTGCCAAACCAGCTACTGCATGCATGCAGCCCTCGCACTGATGTCATTTTCAATCTGTTGTGCTAACAGGACAGCAGGATGGTGCTGCAGAGGAGGAGATGAAAACTGGGGCAGATTCCCAAAGCTCCTGCATGGAGATAGAAGGTACTGCATATGCATCACACTGTTATTGCTCAGATCTGAGCAGTAGTGTTGAAATTCCCTTTTGTTTTCCGTGCTTCCAAGAACAAAACTGTGGAGCTGAATCATCTTCTGGTAACCCTGACTTCAGCCCAGAGCAGGGGAGTAGCTGTGGGTTCTCAGTGACATCGGATGGCTTTTTAACGACTGCTTCCATTAGAGAAAGAAGTGAACACTGTGTGTTTTGTTCCTCTCACTGAGTGCTGGAGCCCTGTAAGTTCAGAGCACAGAATGCTCTGTCCGCTGACCAGTAAAACGTTGGAGTACTTGTGCCCCTGGGCTTGTGATGAGTCCTGGTGAGGGATGATGCTTCAAGCTAGTCATGGGAGGCTTTTTTGTGCCCAATCCTAGAAAGCTCAGCATATTGGAGGGTTGAGGCCTTGCTCTCAACTACTGCCCTTTGCATTTCCCCGAGATAGATAGTGTATCTGTGCTCTTGAGGGAAAGGATCCTTTTCCTTTTCCAGTGTTTTTAATGGTAATCTCTCTAGTGTATGTTAATCCTTTTATACAATGTACATTCTGAAAAGTCTTAGTGTTCATCTTTTTATCAAATTTATTCAGAGCCATTGTTGAACCAAGAAGACACAACAGAAGAGGAGAAACCTTTGATTCCCAATGCAGAGGAAAAAGAAAAAGAAGGAGGAGGAGGAGCACAAGTAGAAGAAGAGGAAGGTAAGGTTGCTTAAAAAAATAGAATGAGATAGGGAATTCTGCTGGGCTCACATTCTGCTTTTCTTCTGCTTGTCAGGAAACAGTGGTAATAGCACGTATAGAGGGATTTATTGAAAAAAAAAAAACAACAACACACCAACTTCCATATCTTTGAGTGTTGTTTTGATATACTGGATGTGCAGTCATGTAGGAATATAAGTGCAAGAAAGTGTACAATCAGATTCTAAAGTTATTTAAAATAAGCATACTTCTCATTATTTTTTGGTATTAATGTGCTGATTAAACAACCAATTTCTGTTCATTTAAGTATCCTCTTGATCACATTCACTAGAAGCATCAAGAATATTTACTATAAATAGGCATGCAAATGAATTGTGAGGCCATTAATAGAGATTTAGGTAGTAATTAACTGAAACCAGTAATTCTAATAAAGAAACCAATATTTGGAGCGGGAGCACAGGGTCTTGCTGAAGCAGGATTTTTTTTTTCCGAGAGTAAAGTATTTAAATCCTTAGTAATGCTTTTGTAAAGAAACTTAGAAGTTTAATTTTCTGTGTTGGATACTCTTCTGGGAGCATTACATTCAGTTCACCATTTGTAACAGCCATGTGGTTATGTAAAAAGAACATGTTATGTAAATAATTCTCTAATTGTAAAGTCACTGCAAGTTAATAATTATATGGTTGTCTTCCGCAGAACACGGAGATTAATTTTATAGTTCCAAAATAAAACCCAGACATGATTTTTACTGAAAATTCAGGTCAATACTAACTGCATTGTCCTAATTATGAACTCCTTTTCCTAGCCACTTTGACAGCAACTTAATTGCAAATGTGTGTTAGTAATATTGACACTTTTCTTCACAGCAAACCCCAGTTAATAGAACTTCTGTTCATATACAGCTAACCAGTATTTCTGCTCTTTTTTTTTTTTTTTTAATTGCCTAGCCAAATTAAGACTAATCACATCTCTTTATTATCAGTCATGTTAATAGTATCGGGTTTGTGCCATATTACTGACAGTGAAAACAGAATTCATGTAATCCTTACTTCAAATCCAGGTATATGGTATTGCTCTACTTCAATTGCAAATCCAGGTTATGTAATATGAGCTCACTCTGATTGCAAATACCAAAGTCGTTATGTTAATTTCCTTCTAATAGAAATTATTTACATTTTATTTTATGCCTCATCAAAAGCAAGTTGGACAAAATGTACTTTCATTATTTGTGCATTTCCTTCCCTTTAATACTTGAGTGTCCCCTACAGCTAGTGGCTGTCATTTAGTTCTCAGTGGAGAGATTGTATTTCACCATCTGTTCTACCTACTATTAAAATATGCAACATTAAAGAAAAGAAGGTAATGTCAGAAAAGGGTTGTTCTTGGCACTTTTCCTTTTCCTGCCCCTGAATTAAAAGGCTCAGGTACTAAGTAAAAGGTTCTTTCCAAACATTGTGGAACGTGTTCCTCCAAGGGGGCTCAGGTATTGCTCTTGAACAAGATCAGTCTGATCCAAAGCTTACTGAAGCTCATAGAAAGACTCTCATTGATTTAAGTGAGCTTTCGATCAGCTCCTTAATAGGAGGAGATGCTGTGCTGAGTCTACGTGCGGGGTAATGGCACTTAGGTAACTCCACGGATACTGTGTTTAGCTTTTTCTGAACATACTGGCTTTGTGTCAGAGAAAATAAATTGGTTTGGTTTTTGTTGTGTTGTGGTGGGTTTGTTGTTGTTGTTTGGTTTGGTTTTGAAAACAAAATGAAGTTAAGTCTTTCCCTTGCATTGTTTCATTCTTACACCCACAAGAACATACAGGGGAACCTTCAGAGCTATTCTTGTCAGATGCTTCCCATTCTGTGGGCACATTGTCAGCCATGTGAGATTTGAAAGTTTGCCACGATGCAAGGTAAATCTGGACAAGGAGCTGAAAAAACAGAAAATCAGCTGAAGTTCAAGCTGATAAAATAATACATACTTCCCAAAGAGAGTCTCTTTTTAATAGGAAGAGATTACGGGGCATAAAACAGAGATATAACAACATTTCAGGTAACCCAAGTGCTATCACATAACCTAATTCTTTGAAATTGTTTTCCAGCAGCATCCACAGTACATTTGGTGTACAATAAACCAGCATATTTTTGCATAAGAACGCTTGGAAAAAAGCTGATGTGGGGCTGCAGTTCCCATTAAATAGAAATCCGGTCATAAAACTGAATCCTAGGTGTCACAATGGTGGTTTTGACCTGTATTAGCTCTACATGCACAGCCTTGCGTAGCAACTACTGATCTGTAGCTATCTGCTCTCTCTGTTCTACATCTGATTTTTTCCTGTTGTGTTACCGAGCTCATCCTGGAGCGAGGGGTATCACGTAACTGCCTCTCTGCTCTCTCTGTCTCACCGGGAGCCATTAGATGAATGGGAGTCCACTGTGACCTGTGCTGTCCCCAGCACTGGAGCTGTGGAATCCACTAAATTGCCAACAAAGATCAAAGTCCCTTTCCCAACCTAAAGCTAAATTTCTGCCTAGTTACTGATGGTGGCTTTGAAGCCTGCTAGATTTTTTTTTTTCAGTGATCTGGTTTTCCTTGGGAAAAAAAAAAAAAAGTCTGTTTCTTGATGGTTTAGAGGCATGTCTCAGTTTTCACAAACTTCTGACAAACTGTAGGTGTGCGGCTGATCAGCTCATCCGTGTGGTGTTGGGGATTTTAGGGCTTGCAGGGTCCTTTCTTACATAGCCAGCGTGACTTCACAGCTCCAGGGTGACTCCATAGCCTGTAGTTTTACCGAGGAGCCGTGGATCCTGGCGCTCCCCAGGTTCTGGGGCGCCGTTCTGGGACTTGAAGAATCCAAGTTTTAGCAATTTAACTGCTCCATTGCCAGCAGAATGAAGTAAGCCAGATTACCCTGAAGAATGTAACATTGTAAAGCACTGTGTGTGTTTCATAAAAACCTGGTGCGGCTTTTTCCAAAATCAGTAATAAAATACAGCGTGTGCCAATTATTCCCTATTTTCCTACTGTAACTTGAAGTTATATGTTATTAGGGAGCACCTGAAGAAAAAAGACCAGCTAAGATGCCTTTTCTGTTATTTTCCAGCTACTATAACGCACCCATTCTAGTTCACAAAAGAATAATGAAAATATGTGTTTCTTATAAGATTAGGGAATATTCTCAAATCCCTTTATTAAAAAGCAGAGTCAGTGGTGATCGCTGACCTAGTTGCTGACTAGGGACGTGTACGTGTTGTTAATACACCGCTTGGCAGCCCCTTTATACGTCCACCTAGAAGTAGTCCTGTCATGCTGTAATGATCACGTGTTCAACATTTAGCTGCAGTTTTGCTCAGCTCAATTTTTCTAGGAGACAATTTCCAGCATGTCCGAATATGTAGCCATTTGCTACTCGAAGCCTCCTCTCCCTTCAAGTTCTGTTTCTCTGTTTGATCATCTTCTGTATTTAGACTAAAAAATTTTGTCCTATGCTGCTGTTTGTAGGATTACTTGGGCTTGGCTTGGCATTCTTTTCCCCCTAAGAAGCAATTTTCATATCAACTCATTTCACAGCTTTGTTCTGACCACCAGAGCTGTGGGAGAGACCCTGACCTGGTGGCAGTGGGCAAGAGGAAAGTGGTGAAGCTATTCTGCCACTTCTGCATGGTTTTGGTGATAGGCTGGTTCATGCCCCAGACGTGTGGCTGGGCGGCATCCTCCCTGGGAAAAGAATATGTTTATTTTCCTCTGGACAAGTCCCGAAACACAGAAGCAGGTTATTGCTGAAGCACAATCAAGCATCAAAGCGCTGTAATTAATGCCTATGAAAAAGATATTAGTGCCCAGGGATTTAGCTTAAGAGCAGGACACAGCCCATGCAATTAGTCTTTCGGTGTGTAGCTGCTCCCCAGCCTTTCTGAGTGCTGTGTGTAGGGGACTGCAATAACCACCTTGGTTGTGCATGACCCATGTGATCCTAAGGCAGGCTTGGGAAGGGACCAGAGGGAGGTTAACTGGTTTAGATCACGTGCAATGTACACGATTTCCTGCAGTGCCAGGCCTTTGGTCACTGCCATTTAATGTAAATTTGAATTCTGCCTCATTTGCTTAGCTAAGCCTGGCTTTGTTCAACCATCTTTGTTAAATGAATAGATAGGTACCTTTGTAGCGACCATGCCACCCGTTCTTCACTTAACTGGATTTCCAAGGTAGTTATCCATCTGTACTTTAGCAAAAGAGATCGTTTGACAGCATGATCTTGGAGAGAATTAAATATTCAGAAACTTCAGGGAGAAGAGCTCTCCATGTTTTACAGTTTCATTTTCATGCGTTTATATGATTTTTACATGCATTGGTACAGTTGCAAATATTGTCAAAAGAAATTACTTTCTCTGATGTGACATTGTAGTTATAGAGAAACAAGGTACTTGAGAAAGATCTTTTGAGATGAACCTGACATCTTTATTCTTGAGTCATGGCAAGCATAACTGCCTTTTATTTCTTAACCAAACTTCTCAGCTTCAAGTGGAGATGGATGGGACATCTTAGAAGGAAAAAAAAAAAAGAGAGAGAAAGAGATGTTAATAATCTTCTGTATGCATCCTTAAAAAGACATACTTTGTTTTGCCTGGGGAGACAAGAATGCAGAGATATTTGGAGCGTGGTGGCTGCTGAAGAGATAGTTTAGAGGCTCCAACTCCTTTTATTCAGGTTCCCTGAAAAAGAAAGGAATAAGTATTCTGATTCAAATACACAGTGCACAGGTCTTTGATAATGACCCACACTGAATGGGTCAGATGACATTTTATGTGCTGTTGCAGAATAAGTCTGACCATAAATTTGGAATATATCTTAAAAATCTGCCTCTAACATGCATTGGTAGATGGCCATGAGAAAAAAAAAAAAAGTACACCTTTGGGCCCTTTGCAGAAATGCTGATTGTTCTGGGGAAGTAGAAAATTGTGAACTGGTATTTAAACTCACGTGTCTAAAGCTGAGCTAGAGATAGC